GTGGCGCGAGAAGCTGAGGATTCAATTAAAAATATTCAAGGATAAAATTGAGTGAAGTTCTAAAAATTAGGTTCATTTTTTTTAGGGGGGTTGCTTATGTGATATTAAATTATTAGGGACTGGTTTGGTCTTAAAAAAGGATGCAATATCATGTTAAACAATATTGTGGATTCCCTTTTATCTTTTAACAACTTTTAAATCTTAGAATTTAATAAATATTTTTATCTAAAAATCTCAATCATTGTGGTTGTGTGCAGCCTTCTATGTTAGTAAAAAATTTTAGATTGAGAGAGACATATCTAGTAAATGTCAATACCTTTAGAAATATCCCAATAGACTTTGATACCAGATAAAAAATATTTATTTTGGATTCTAGTTATTTGCATATATATATCAATTTCTAAAAACAATACAAAAAAAAAAGAAGAAATTAACATTAAAATTAACTTCTCTAAAATACTCATGTGTTGTTTACCTTTAAGATTTCAAAATATGCTATATAAAGAAAAAGGCCTATATATATATATATCAATCTCTAAAAACAGTACAAAAATAAAGAAAAGAAATTAATGTTAAAATTATCTTCTCTAAAATACTCATATCTGTTGTTTACCTTCAAGATTTCAAAATATGCTATATATATATATATAAAAGAGCCTTCACTGTACTGTTCCAAGAAACATGTAGTAGCAAAGTCGAAAGTTGTTACAATAGGCCCTGAGCAATAACAAGCCGGAGGTTTTTGTACTCTCCTTAGTCACACTACAAGACAGAGAGGTAATGTCCATGGTGAAAAAAACTAAAGTTTATTATAAATAAACTAGAGTAGAAAAAAGAAAACTAGAGTTTATTATTCAAATGTAATATTTTCCTATCCTTAAAAACTAGTTTTTTAGTTTTCTAAATTTATACTGAGTTTTAAAAACATATTTTAGAGAATTTTCAGTCTTTCTTCACAAGTATCTACTATTTTTCAAATAAAAATGAGACAGAATAATATAGTGTTTTTCTCTAGTATACAATTTTTTTTTTACCAATGCAAGGCATTAAAACTATTTTTTTTCTAACATTTTATTATTTAATCAGTATCATAAATTTAATTTTTATTATGAATCAAATATACATATTTTTATTAAGTTAACACTATAATTTGAATAAAATAAAATGCATATTATATAATAAAATTATCATGAATACAAAATATTAAGATGATTATTGTAAATTATGGTCTTGGTTTTTATGAGAAATAATTATAATCTTGATGCATATTTTACTTCTTTATAAAACAAATTGTTTTTGTTTTCAAAAAATGAATACATTTTTTATTGAAAAAAAGAAAACTAGAAATAAAAAAAGTTTTATATTAATGAATGGACCCTAAAATTCTCGTATTAAGTTGTTTAGAATTAATTATTTATTATAATTCAATTATAGAGTTCAATTTGAATTCAATCGATAATAATTTAAATTCACATATTTAAAAGAAATAAAATTTATTTTATTTTATTTTATTTTTTATATTATACTCATCACCTTCATCTTATTCTTTCAAAGGTCTCTAAAAAACTATAGATATGAGTATTTTAAAGAAGCTAATTTTAACGTTAATTTCTTTACTTTACTTTTGTACTGTTTTTAGAGATTGAATTGCATATGAAATTCAATTCAATTCTTTACTCTCAAAATGATTTTAAACATAAGATTTCATTAAAATCTCTTAATTAAATCAATTCAAAGGATAATTAAATCAATTCAAAGGATTCCAAACGGTCTCTTAATTTTTTAATTGTGACATAGTGAATAGTAATCATTGGCATGTACTATAATATAGGTTTAACAAAAAAATTTTAATGTAAAAAACATCTAGTTATTTCTAATGTTTTTTCTAATATATTTGTTTTTGAAAATTATTTGAGAACTAACATGATATGATCTAATTAACTTGATGAGTCTAAAAATAACTCAAATGACCCGTAAAAACATGGTTTGACTCAAAATAAATATTCAAGATGAGATTTTTTTTAATAAATATCAATGCATTAGATCGATTCAGGTTAACCTGAGTTAATCTAAAAATCTACATGCTAGACCATAATAACTCTATAAAAAAAATCAAAATAAACTATAAAGCTCAATTTCTAATAAACTCAATGCTGAAGGATTACATTGGAAAAAAATCAATTAAAAAATAACAAAAAATAACTTGAGTCAACTTGTAAAACTAGCGACTCAAGTCTAAGATTGGGATAACCCAATATAAAACAAATTAAAATAAATTATAAATTTTGATTTTAAATCAATCTAATATTAAAAGATAAAATTAAAAAAAAATAAAAAATAGCATAAAAGAATTACTCAATTCAACTGGAGTAAATCTGTCAAAATCATGACTCGAGTTATAAAATATAGATAATCTTATAAAAAATAAATCAAAGTAAATCACAAAACCTAATTGTTAATTAACTCAATATTAAAAAAAATAATTAAAAATAAATAAATTAATTAACCAAGTCAGTTCATCAAACTTACAATTTGAATCATAAGACTTAGATAACTTTTTAAGAAAGTAAATTGAAAAATATTATAAAATTTAATTCTTAACAAACCTAATATTAAAGGGTATACTTGTAATAATAAAAAAAGTATAAATTAGAAAAAATACTATAGTATATATTCCACTATACCAGTTCGTTACAAGTTCTGGACCTTCTAGTCTACTTTTAAAGCAATAAGGTATAATCTAGGGGCCTGACAGCAACGCGCTTCTTTAGGATAATTTTGCTAGCACCATCAAATACCTTCATTTGTATCAATGTTTTTTATGAGTTTACCATCTCAACACCATATTAACATAATAATTGCAAACACTTTTATTAATATTATCTAAAATCTCAATAATTTTATCATTTTAATTTCTCTTAAATGTGACATGTATAAATTCTTTAAGATAAAATGTTCTATTATTATAGACTTTATATGCTTTGCTTGGAGAGGAATAGCTAAGAAAAAAAATTAACATCAAATTTATATAATTTATTTTTAGTGTTAAGAATACAACATTTTGAACCAAAAATCTTGAAATACAAGATGTTGGGTTTCCTCCCTTTTTAAAGCTCTTATGAAGTTTTTTTCAACTATAATCTTAAGATAACATGATTTAAAATATAATAAGAGGTGTTTATCTTTTTGGATCCTTTATAGTTAATGGTAGTTTCTTTTGGAATTGAAGTTATATTATAACTTTTGTCCTTAAGAGGATGCGTATAAATCAAATGATTTATGTTTTTACACTGATTACATGAATGACTTGGATTATATGATTGTTTAACGAAGCAATTTTTCAAGATTGGTTAGTATACTTACTTCTTAAAGTGTTTAGAATAATAATAATAAAAAAAAAAAAGTAGATCACATCACTATCATGGATCATGGAATGTATCATTTATTTTTAAAGTTTTATTTATCATTCGGTGCAAATAGATTGATTGTAATTAGCTTAATAGGATTCTAAAAATACCACCTTGATTAATTGCACTACTAAACAAGGCCCACAAACTAGAAAAACATAATAAAAATTATTTTTTATGAAAAAACTTGAATTTAATGACTAAAGGAAAAACAAAGCAAAAATATTGGAAAAAGCAAAGGAGAAAAGGTTAAAGAGTTATTGTTTTATGTTAATTCTTTTATGTTATGAATTTTTAACCAAAATTGATGCAAAATTAATTTTAATAATTATCAAAATTAATTCTCATTATTTTGCCCTAATTACCTCTCATAAAAGATAAAACTTGACAATTTATTTCTTAATAACTAAATAGTTTTACTTAAAAAATAAAATTATTCAGTGAAAGGAATGTTATTATTTATTCAAGAAGGTTACACTTTAAAAAAAAATTATGAGCCAAAAAATTATTTTACAACAAATCTAAACTCGAGCCGAAGCATATGACTTAAGCCTAAAACCCATTTAGTGTACGGCTTTTATTCATTAACTATTTTGGTGCTTTAATGGTCAATTTTTACTCTTCAACTTCTTATTATATATGCTACAAAAGAGTCTTATAAGCTTTCAATGTGGAATTGACGATTTTTGGATTTATAAAAAATATCAACCATGATAATATTCTCATGAATTCTTTGAAATTAATTTTTCATTTATTCTTATTTTTTTAATAAAAACAAGTTGATGTTTCATGTTAAAGTATTTTTATCAAAAAATATTTTTCAACAAAATTTCATATTTAAAAGTGAGTGGGTATTACTTTTAATTTAGTTTCAGATATATCTATTAATTTATTTCTATTTAAAATGAACTTCTAACTATTATCTAAGTACTCCATTTAATTAAAAATGTTTTGTTTTTGTGATTCAACTTATTTTTTAAAAGTGCTTTTCAAAATTTTTTTTATCTAAAATTGATATTTTCTTAAGTATTTTTCAATGATTTTAATATATTGATATAAAAACAATTATTTAGATATATTCTCAATTGAAAAATGCTTTCTACAAAATCATTATGCATCATATTATCATAAGCACACTAAAAGAGCATATGGAATGCTACTTCCTGTCCAATGTTATATTTGTTATCCAAACTTTTTTCTTATTTAATTGGGTCCAGCTAGCCTTTTGTCCAGAAAGTTGGTTTCTAAGGTCTGTATGTTTCCCATAATGATGCTTTACAAAGAAAAAGAGAAAGCAAGCTAATTGGAAAATGTGTAAAAATCAAACATATATTTGAAATAAGATATCATGTGCATATCTATCAATTATAAGATATTTAAAAACAGATATATATATCTATCAAATGTTCCATTAAAAATCATGGAAAACAAAACAGTGTTGACAACAACAGAGGAACAGGGAGTTCACAGTCCCATGAATCTTGCAGATTCAACATTCCCCATTATTTTACATGCACAAAGGACATCAGAATGCACAAATGCAAGAGTAAAAGCAAGGCCAATGTTATTATGGCAAACAGATGAGGAGAGCAGTTAGGTGTGGAACAATTGCCAGCAGTAGTGAGTTGGAGTACATCAAAATGTCAAGGAACTACATTCAAAATATCAAGGATTTGGTGATACAAACCAAACATCAAAATGTCAAGGAACTACATTCAAGAACTATATAGGCCGGCCTCTAGAATGAATGCTAATGGCGGCTCTAGATGCCATGACTCTCAAGTTTGCTCTAGCTGATGAAAGAGAGATTCCTGATTGCTCTTGAGTTCCCCCAAAAGCTTCCATAAACTCTTCTCTCTGCAGCCTTAGAGCTAATGCAGTATCCTCATCTTGGCTTGGTATCCCTCTTCTTCTCCTCCCAGTTGCTTCTCTGCTTAATATTAGCCGCTCAAGAGCTTCTCTTCTTCGCAATCTTTGCACCAATGGAGTATCCTCCTCGTCTTGGTTCCACATATCTCTACTCGTACTTGCATCTCTGTTTGACACTCTAGTAGAAGGGTCATCTTGGCGCAACATGCCTCTATTGATAATCGCTCCCCTGTTTGGCACCCTAGAAGGCTGAACGCTTGTTGTGTCTCTGTATGACGCTCTGGAAGGCCGAACGTTTCGGCTTCCTAAATCATTATTGGTTTTTCTTTCTGAGCTTCGATGCTCTTTCTGGTTTTTCCTGCCCGATGCCATCTTTGCTTCAACTTCTTGAGGAAACAGAAGCTGTATTGTGTTCCAAAGAACTGTATTCACCGTACAGGATCTGCTATTGCTGCAATTCCCACAATACAACAAGGCAATGTCAAAAAATTGTCTAACCACTTCAAAATCCCCCATAACTAAACCTAGATACTAATAAATTCGAAGATAGTAATTGAATTCACCCTATCAGTTGCCTGCACTTTGGGCATTTCTTCCCACATTTATCAGCAGCAGATCGCAAACATTTCTTACAGAAACTGCAAACAAAGAGAAACCACTCCATTAATATAAATGAAACGATCCCTGCTGTATACAATATACATGAACATAACTGTTCAAACTAACTCACAACTAGAGAATCCCATATTTTAAGCCCTCATCGGAATCAAATAAAGTAATATGCCCTTTAATTGCTCTCTTATAGAGAAATCCAATGGCTAAATGAAGATCCATTTCTTACAAGGAAAGCCAAAAGGTACAAAGTTGTGTTTTCCTTTTACCTGTGTCCACAAGAAGTGGTACTGGGTTCAAAGCAAATCTCCAAACAAATCTGCCAAGAGTACCAAGAGCATTAAACCCCAATTGAAAAAAAAAAGTACGCAAATCTCCAAACAAATCTGCCAAGAGTAACAAGAGCATTAAACCCCAATTGAAAAAGAAAAAAAAGTAATAAAGAAAGAAGAAAGAAAATACAGTTGTGTATTTCAGTCGACTAAAGTCAAAAAAGAAAACAATACAAGAAAAATATAGACTCTTACAGCACAAGAAAGCTCTTCTCTAAGTTTATCCATGCAAGGAAGAGCTGAGTTTGAGCAAGAAGCATCAGGGTTGTCTTTAGCTAATTTGTCTCCTCCTAATTTACTTTCTTCATCTACAGCAATTCTCGGCTCCGTCTTCTTTTTCTCACTTTCTTTTCACCCAAAACATCAAAAGAATTCGACTTTCTCAATTCTTAGCCATGAAAAATTGGAAGCACAAATAACCCAATTTCAAGAAGATAAAAGGGAAAGTACCTTTCATTACAAGTTCCTCCTCTTCTTCAAGATTTAGAATAGGTACAGGAATTGAAATCGGACTCTTCTTCTGATCCCTCCGCTTCCTAACGGACAAAGAAAATACTTAGCTTTTCCCCTTTCATTTTTTTTTAAAAAAGAAATAAGAGAAACGAGTAAGTATTTGAAATCAAAGCTAGGATTTCCAAGTTTTGATTTTTCTCATCAAAATCTTCTTAGGAACAAAAGGGGGTACAGCTTTAAGAAAATTACTTCTTTCTTTTTGGTGGGTCTTGTTGGAAATAGTACCTTCTTGTATTGGTTGAAGGTGGAGTCTTGAAGTGCAAATCGGAGCGTTTCTTATGTTTGAACTGTCTTTCTGGCGTGTCTTCAACGATAAGGCTTGCGAAAAGGATAGATTCTTCGTCCCAACCAGCCATGGCAGCCACGGATTTGAATCTGGGACTGAAAAGATTCTCCATATTTTGGCTATTGTCAACTGGGTTTGATTGCATCCGGACTCTAGGACTCTCCTTTTGTTCTTCACTCACCATTTTGGAGTCTTTCTTGGTTTTTTTATTTGAATCCAGAGAAAAGTGGCTTTCCTTTCTTGAGAGAGAGGGGTGACTGATGGAGGCTTAGGGTTGATTTATTTCTAACGGTCGAATTTTGTTTGAACTCATTTGATATTGAGGCCTTTCTAACGGCTATAATTTTGTTTGAACTTATTTTGTTTTGTATTCCGCAGTCTCTCATCATCCATTAAGGATTGAGAGGAAAAAATGATGCAATACTTTTTATAAAATATGAGTTTTTGTTTATATGTTAAAATATACCTTATATGTACTACAATCATACAAATATAAGAATGTCCAATGTAGTTTAAGGAAATAACACAAAATTGAGGTAATTATCAATTTAGAAGCAAGATATATAGTTTAGTAAAGAAAAGAATAAATAGAATTCTTAAATAATTAAAAGTACTTTTGGATGAATTATAATGTATTAAAAATAATTTCATGGATTTGATTAAAAACAAACGATTATATCAAAACCCTTGCCATTTTGACTTGAATTTTTATGATTCTAAATCAAATTAAAAGGAAATATTAGAAACCATTGAGTATAATATAAAAGGTGTGGCTCTTTTACTATAGGCACATTTACTATTCTCTCTTACATATTTCATTGTTAATTGTAATAGTGAGATTTTTTTAAAAACCAATTTAGTTCTTAAATTTTTTATTTGTATAATTGAGACCTTTTCAGATTAAATTGAAGCCCAATTGTATAATTTTTGGGTTGAATTAAAAGACAGAAAACTAAAATAAAAAATACAGGTAACATAGGTAATAAATTTAATTTTTTTTTAAAAAAATTACTTTCATCTTCCATCTTTTTTAACTATTAGTTTACCGGTCCTTATAATTTTACACAAATAAATTTTGGTAGTAAATTTTATTTTTTTATTTTTTAGTTTTTTTTTTGTGGAGGAGAGAGAAAAGGTCGCCGACTTAAAGAGATAAATTTGTTGTTGGAAAAATTTAAACTATCAAAATAGTCTATTTTTGTGTCAAAATATTCTATATGATGAGACGGTTACTATCATATTGTTTTTTCTTGAAAACATGTAAAAATCATATCTGGACCCAAGAAATTTTATAGTTTTTGGTTGATATATGGTTTTTGGGTGGTTTTTGTAATTTTAGAAATTATAAATTAGTTTAATAAGATTTATAGGATATTTTTAGATATTTTAGGTTAAAATAAGCTTTTGGGTGAAAAATAAAAGAAAACCTTACCAATAGCCAAATACTAGGATTAACATACAACATTGGTTTATCAAGATAGAAGATGTGTTGTCTTTTTTATTTTGACAAAGGATGGGATGGATGACTATCATCCACTCCATTCACTTTAAAAAAAATAAAAAAAATAGCCTTACTTTATGGACTAGGTACAAAATCTAGATTATCAAGGCCATATTGCATTGCCTTATTTTCATGAAAGAAAAACATTTTTTTTTATATATATGTTTTAAAATAATTTTTTCATTTGTGTTTTAATTAATATTCCTTCTATATGATTTCTTTGACTTATTTAGCCTTTTTTAAATAATAATAATAATAATTTTTTAATTATATAGAGTATATTTGATTTTTTTATAAAGTTAGTTTGGTTAATCTATAATTTATTGTTATATTTTATATAGATTAAACTTATTTTTTAATAAAAAACATTTATTTTCTTACAAAATCTTTAATTTATGTAGCCTTGCATGCAATATTTTTCTTTTATTTTATTTAATAAATTTAATATGTGTCGATTTTTATGACAAATAATTTTTTATAAATAAATTCATTAAATACAACAAGTAAATGACTAATATTATAATATTAAATATCTTGACTTACATTTATATCTTAATTTTTTTAATTTTTTGTATGAACATTTTGATTTATATTTTAAATTTTTCTAAGAAAATAGCCTATATATCCACGAATTTTTTTAAAAAAACTTATGATCCATTATGACGCTCAGATCAGATGAAATAACTAGTATCATGTATAACAATTTTTATATTTTTATCATATGTTTATCCTTATCACAACTTAGCATTTGTGTATTATAAATAAATTTGTGATTCAATATTCAACCGCTCAGATTAATGACTATAATGATGTCATAAGATATGTCACCTAGATTTCACTTACTCAATCTCAGCCCAAAATCAGTGCCAGAGTACATCAAATTACTGGATTTGGGCGATTGAATTTTCTTTCGATAATAATTTGAATCCGTTAATAGCAAGCACGCATTGTTTTTATGTCCCCTAACCTACAAAGAAAAATAGAAATAATTGCAACAATGATTTATCAACATTCTATACGATCCACAGTCCCACTCCATGTATCATCATCTTATCTTTGTTTTTAAGCATATCTGCACAAAAAGAATCCATCTACAAACCCATCCCCGTATTTGTACATCACAATTAACATAAGCAGTCCCATTTCTCTCACAGGTCACGAAGACCCTTTGCCCTTTGGCATAATCATCATCCTCGTACTGTTTTGCTTTACGAAAACCGTGTTCATTGATTTCCATAACCTCTTCCCATCTCCTCCCATGGCAAATTGTTGGTTAGTGGGTCCATAAACTTCTGCAATACCAGGTTCCTGAGCCCAGTGTCTGTCACTTCACAAAACCTACTCGACCAATCTGGTGGCTCAACAGCTCTGGTCCCCAAGCCCGGGGCTCGGTCCTTAGACCCCACATTTTGCTCATTCTGCCAATCAGCCACATAAGTAGCTACCCTCCTATAGAACTTCTCCTTGAACACCTCCCACGCTTGATACTTGTAGTGGTTAATAACCAAAACTCCCCTGTCAGCATTTACATACCTAAAACCCTCGCTTAAATGAAAATGGTGCACCACGTTGATCAGTGTGGAATTCAATGCTTCAGGTTTCACTATACTCTTGTGTCTCTCCGGTGCTCCAAGTCGGCACGTATACCCTACCATCACTCCTTGTGGAGGAACATGCTTGAGCCCTGACGGCCCAAAACTGTAGCACGAAGTACGTATCTCAGCAACGTTATTTCCAGACTCCGATTGATTGCTAATCACATCATGCAAACTTAACCCCAGAGGAGAGTAAAAAAACTCATCTACATCTATGAAGCCAACCCACTCGCACGACTCTCGTGCCCTTAGCGCGCAGTGTGCGAACCCTGCTTCCTGGGTCTTGATCCATGGCCAAACATGCCTAGAAATGTTAAAACCCGCCTGGACTAGTGACTCCATAACATCTTCAATGTCATCATCACTGTTGTTGTCGTAAATGTACCAACTCTGTACTCCAACTTGGGCATGGTACATGACCCATTCTCTTAAGAACCTAGCTTGATTGCGTAGCATGGTGCATATGCACATTTCATGCGGTTTTCGTTCCGGTGGACCACGTTGGGGCATCGACCGGAGCCCCGGGCGGGCTATGGAGTGTAATGTTCCTCTACCTTTGACTCTAATGGATACCTTGATGGAACTGTTGACCATTTGTGGGGCACCCAAGACACTCAAAGGGGTTTTACACCGTACGATCTCTTGAGCCATTGATATGACTTGGGATCGTAGCAAAAACTTGGGTCTCCTAAAATCCCAGCCGTACACACACTCAAACCTTGAAGCGTTAGAAAGTTTCTCCGGCCGTAGATTAAGCCCCTTCACAAAAACAACTGTAGTATTATCACGGTCTATCAAGGCTTCATAGACAAGCGATTCCCACTTGTGAGTGGGTCCCGGATGGATATAGCCGCCAGATTTCAAAGATAGCGAAACAGTGTAGCCACGTGGAATGAGTGGACACCGTACGATCTGGTCATCGGCATCCTTACCGTCTATGTGAATTGGGGGCAGCCAGCGCTGCGACTGGGATGATGATTTATTAGCCGAGATATAAACGCACAGGAGGTCCTCTTTGGTAAATAACCGAGACGATGGAGGGTATTTTAGGAAAACTAGAACCTGGTCTGGAAGCATAACTGTTTCACGAATTGATGGTGCCAGAACAGCAGAAGAATCGCCGGAAAGTGCCTCCATCGCCGGCGTCCGCCATGTTGAGACAATTTCCGGGTGAAACTTTTCTGTTTCAAATATATATATAAAAAACTAATCAAAATTAACACATACTCAGCATATTATTACTAAGTAATATACTAAACTTAGCAAGTTAAGTCTTTATTTGGAAAGTTTAATCCTTTTTGATAAATGAATGATGGCCATGTGCTATAATAATTAGGAAGGTTTAAGGGAGACCCAGAAAGAAACTAACGACACCCATCTTAATTGAAAAAAAAATCCCAGAAATTAAAATTTAATAATTAATCCCAAGATAATTAAACATGTAAGGTAACAACTCAAATATTCAAGACAGAAAGAAAAAAGATTATTACCTCCAAAGAAGAAGAAGCGAAAAGTGGAGAAAGTGAAGCCAGAGAAGAGAACACAAGAGAAGACAAGAAAAAGAGTGCACCAAAAGAACCTGTTCCATGAAACAACATCTCGTTTCCTACGGTCTTTCATCGCTGCAAACTCTGCTGTTGCTGCTCATGAAACCAACAACAACAGTATAGATAGCTAAGATGATGCGAAACAAGTCCTCCAAGAAAAGCCTGACCTCGTTGCTTATGCTCATTCATATGGATATATGTATATGTATGTAAACAAATAAGAGGTTAGCGTTTTGGTTTATGGGTGTGTGTGTGTATTCAACTCAGTGCTTGAAAGGTAAAGGAAAGTTATTTTGTGGGAGAGAAAGTGGGGAGAGAGAAAGTGGGGAAAGGGGTGTGACTTGTGAGTCACGATGATGCGGGAGAGAAAGAGACGGCTTGCTTCTCTAATCTAAGACCTTGCCGTTTCTACCGTTCATGTCGGTTTTTTTGCGGTGGTTAACACTATCATTTCTGGGTGCTTTCCACTGTTGCGCTTTGCTTTTCATTAGAAGATGAACTGCCAATATCATGCTGCCACTTCATTGCAATCTATCCTTTTTTGGGCATATTTTCATTGATTAACAGCCCATCTACATGAGAGCATTGGATAGATGCTGTGGGTCACCGCTTCCCTAACGAATAAAAAGGAAAAAGAAGAAGAAAATGTAGTTAAGAAATTGTAAGATTTAACAATTTCTGCCGATCTAGTGGTTCTGATTGAGAGTTTTTTATTTCAGCATTTAAATTAATAGGCTTCATAGATGTAGATGAGTTTATCACGATTAATTATTGAATCTATTAAATATCCTTGGTTAAATTTTTTTTTAACAATATCTCCCTGTTAATTTGTACAATTACTATATCTAACGACGGTTATAAATGAATATAACATGTTTATTTGCAGTCAGGGCAACTGCTCGACAAGAAACTTGTATGTTTTCGTTCTTCTAAAAGAAAAATATATACCACAAGTGAATTAAGGTTTTAATTATGCTTTTTTATATTGATTATTCATTTTATTTACGAAAATTACAAGTTAAGAATGCTTCATTTTGTGCACCAGAAATTCAGGGGAAATCAATTAATTAACTTTTACTTATGGTTTTGTGGTCCAATAGTATTTAGATTAATTTTTTTCATTTTTTTGATGTGATGTTAATAAAAAAAATTAAAAAAAATTATTTTTATATATTTGTAAATAAAAAAAAAACATTAGGAAGCGCAAAGAGAACGGCAAAGGCAAGCAGATGAGGTGGAGCAACGTGGTTGGGTGTGGTAGAATGGAAGGAGATGGATACTTTTGCAGCATATGACGATGCTAGACATTAGATACCTTCCGTGTTAATTAGTGCTAACATCTGGAAAATAAAAGATATGATAGGATATTCAATTACCATCTTACCCCACTGATTCAACTCCCCCTTTCTTTTTCCCTCGTGGGTCCCATGTGGAGGCGCCGCGCACCCTCTAAACTGTGCCACGTCATATTTTGACAGGTTGCCTGGAACTAAAGGAATAAAGGATGGAATTTGTGTGCTCACTGTGGCTTAAACGAGCCCATGGACTTGGATTACGATTCTATGCTTATGTTTTCTTGGATATTTTTCTTCAATTTAAACCCTTCAAAATATGTGTGGATAGGTAACATTATAGCGACCCGTATTTACTTGATTAAGTACGACTACATACGTCTCATTGTATATGAATATATACTGGTTTTGTACTTCACTTTGTCATGGTTGGGTTATTTTTTTAATAAAGAAATAAACATGTAATTTTTTTAATGTATTTTTATATAAAAAATTCTCAACCACAAGTCAAAATATTTATACTTGTATTTAATTAATGAAATCGATATTTAATTAAAAAATAACTAAAATTAGGATAATTAATCTTTTAACACGAGCCATGTTTTTAGTTTTTTTAATAATTATGTGTTTTTTAATATTATTTTTATTTAATGAAACAATCATGTGTGCAAATAAGAGATAAAAATAATAGTAAATGAAAGTGACTAAAATCAAACCATGAAATGCATCCATGTAATAACCTTATGTTGAATGATAAATTAAAGATAAATAAAACAATAAAAAAATAGGTCTAAGTCAACCCATGTAAATATGTAAATATGTTAACCCTATAAATCTGCAATCATAGATAAATTATTGGCATAACCTCTTGAAAAATTAAAAACAAAGTATAAAGATTAATTCAAAAAAAATATTGGATCTCGCAACACGTGTCATTTACTAAGTTATGTTTAATAATTATGTTTTTTATAATATATTATTTTTTATTTAATTAAACTATTATACATGCCAATAAGAGGTATAAAAAATCACAAAAGAAATCTAATTGAACCAAACTATTAAGCTTAATTATAATATAACATAATATTGAATGATAAAATTAAAAAAATAAGACTATGATCAACCCGTGTTAACCCGCTTACCCCATGATCAGGAATATATGATTGTGATAATCTTATAGAAAAGAAAATGAAAAAAAATACCATGAAGACCAATTCCAAAAAAATTAAATATTGAATGATAAAATTAAAAAAAATCTTAAAAAAACCTAAAAAATTTAACTTATATTAACCTTGAAAACTCATTATCGTGATCGTGAGGTTAGAATTTACTGTGCAAAAAGAAAACAAGAAAAACAATTCTCAATAAAAAAAATCCAGAGACATGAAATTGAAAAAGAAATAATTCTAAAAAATTTAACAAAAAAAAGATGACTCAATCAAGGTTAACTTGGTAACCTAACAATCGTAAACACATGATTAAGATAACCCCATTGAAAATAAAGTGAGGAAAAAAAGAAGCATAAAGACTAACTCTAAAAACAATAAATGTTTAGAAATGAAACAAAAAATAATTAAAAAAGGATGTAAAAAAAAATCAACCAATGCTAATCTTCTGTGGTCATAAAACTAGAACTGACAATGTAGAAGGTAAAATAAAAAAACAACAAAGAAAAATTTAAAAACAATATTGAGACATAAAACTATAAATTTTTTAAAAAATACTAAATTAACCCGGATTAACCTACTAACCTTACGACTATGAGCATATGATTTAAATAATCTTGTAAAAAGAAAAGTAAAAAAGAAGAAGCATGAAGGCTAATTCTATAAAAATAAAATATTTAATGATGAAACTAAAAGAAAAAATCAATTAAAAAAGATAAGAAAATAAAATAAATAGCAATAAAAAAAATATAAATTAAATTGAATATAAAATATAAATAGTAGGGCACTCCCATACCTTGGCCAATTATTTTTCTTTTTATTAATATTTTATATTTGTAAAAGATCAAAAAATTATTAAAATGAACTTAATTATAATAAAAATAAAAATAAAAAGATAAAATATCTCTTTGGAAGTAAACTTAATTTTTGTTGCTTCCTATGGTAGTCAATGTTTTTATTTTTTCTTATAAAGCTAATTAAGTAATTGCATTGTTAATAATAGAAGTCAAAAGTTATTTTTGGCCCTTATCAATTTGTCAATAATTATTGTGTCCCGTACAAATACAAATTACCCTATTTTAATGGATTTTTAAAGGGTCAAAATGGAGAAAATATTATTCGTATCTTTTATTTGTAATCATAGAAAATCTTTGTTATCAATTTGTTTAGAAATAATAAGTTATTTTTCTCACTACATTATCATTATGAGCTGGACCAAAAAATTTAGAAACTTTAAAAAATAATATCTACGCCACATAAATTTTTTTTCACATCATCATGAAATTGATAAAATAAGTTCAAAATAAAAATTCTCAACCTATAGCCCTAGTCTTAAATTAAATGAGTCTTAAATGAAATGATGTAAAATTTATTTTAATATAATCTTATTGATTTGGATAAGTTTAAAAAGCTTATAGACTTTACTAGATTCAATTTTTTTTTATTATATGATAAAAAATATGAAAATTCATTAAAATTTAATTAAATATTAAATAAAAAATAAAAAATAAAAATAAAACCAAACATTAAAAGATATAATAAAAAAAATTAAAATACAAAAAAATCCAAACAAGAAAAAAGAGAGCCTATACAAGCAGACCTGAGGTGAAGTTAGACATCGTGGCCTTCTTTATTATTATTTTTAAAAAGTAAAAACAGCATCAAGCAATGTAAAATTTTAGGGGTGAGCTTTTGGGGTTGGAAATCCATATTTCATCCTAAAAACCCATCCCCTAAAATTTCAACCCGCCAAAAATCACTTAATAAACAACATATAAACTACCTTAAATTATTTAATAATCCTAAAACACCCTGCAATTAGCTAATAAAACCAAGATCAAGCAAATTCAAAAATTCAAAATAAAACTCGGTCTTTTTCTTGAGGCATGGTTACAGAAAAAACTAATAATAATTGAATTTCTATAATTGAATATAACCTTTTGACACAAGAATGATGAATTTAGTCATTGAAAAATAAATAAACTAATTATTTTCTCTCTCCTCACTATTTTCAGATAAGATTTTTTTTCTTTTTCTAACTTAAAAGACTAAAAATAAAAAAAATAAATTTTTAAACTAAAATAAAAATTATTGTTGATAGTGGTTAGCTGTATATTTTTTTCTATTTTACATTTCATTTTCCTATCTTTTAATTTTGTATATTTTTACTATAAGTTCAAGTATAATTTTTTCTAATTAGACTATAGAAGCATTTAATTGAAAAGAAAGAAAAAAACTTGAAAATAAAAAAAATCAATTATTTCACTATTCATATAAATAATAAAAACAACTCCATTTAGTTGTTTTGTTAATTTATTGTGTCAATCATTTATTTTGACAAAGAGAAAAGGACAAATAATTATGAAAAAAATATTAACATCATAGCTATAGTTGTGAACGCAGAGAGAGAGAGAGAGAGAGAGTGAGAGTTATGTAGGAGATTTGCTTTCAAGTAAGATAAAAAGTAGCTATGATAGGTTGCCATGAAAATAAACGAAAACGAGATCAGTGTTGTTTTGATCATATTTTTTTTTTCAATTTAATTTAAACGAATATTATACTAACAATAATTATTAAAAATATTAAAATGTTGAAATATGTGCTTAAATGGTACAAAACATCTTTATTTGGGAAATAAGATTAAATCTACCCTTTTTCAGTAATAAAGTTTTAAAAATGCCTTATTGTGAAAAAAGAAAAACTCCATATTAAAATACTTTAAGGCAATACTTATCTTTTGAGTTTTTTTTCCCATACAAGAATATTTTGAAACCTCAATTCACTAAATAGTGTACTTTTAAACTTATTTATTATAATACAATACTCCTTACAAGGTATATATCGAACACAGTTAATTAATAATGGATCTGAAAATAAAATAACAATAATAAAAGATTATTTCCCAACAATTTTAGATTTCAGCCAGGAGAGCAATTTCCAGAAAATTAATTTTTAAAATTTCATGTATTTATTTATTATTAAAAAAATTAGTTAATATAAAATATTTTTTAGTCAAAAG